CAACAAATTGTGGCAAGTTCTTAAAGAGGTGAGAGTACCAGAGCATCTTATTTGTCTCTTGAGAAACCTGTATGCAGGTCAAGAAGCAACAGTAAGAACTGTACATGGAACCTCTGATTGGTTCAAAATTGAGAAAGGAGTTAGGCAAGGCTGTATACTGTCGCCCTTCCTATTTAACTTATATGCAGAGCACATCATGAGAAAGGTGGGGCTAGATGAATCACCAGTTGGAATTAAGATTGCCCAAGGAATATCAACAACCTCAGATATGCAGATGATACCACTCTAATGGCAGAAAGTGAAGAGGAACTAAAGAGCCTCTTGATGCGGGTGAAAGGAGAGAGCGCAAAAGTTGGCTTGAAACTCAACGTTAAGAAAACTAAGATCATGGCATTCGGTCCTATCACTTCCTGGCAAAAAACGGGGAAGAAATGGAGGTAGCCAAGAAATTAAATGACTCTTGCTCCTGGGAAGGAAAGCTATGGCGAATCTAGACAGCATACTAAAAAGCAGAGACATCACCCTGCCAACAAAAGTGCGTATAGTCAAGGCTATGGTTTTCCTAGTTGCAATGTATGGCTGTGAAAGTTGGACCATAAGGTAGGCTGAGAATTGAGAATTGAGGCCTTTGAATTGTGGTGCTGGAGGAGACTCCTGCGAGTCCCTTGAACCGCAAGGCGATCAAACCGGTCAGTCCTAGAGGAGATCAATCCTGACTGCTCTTTAGAAGGCCAGACACTGAAGATGAAACTCAAATACTTTGGCCACCTAATGAGAAGGAAGGAATCCCTGGAGAAGAGTCTAATGCTGGGAACAATTGAAGGCAAAAGAAGAAGGGGATGGCAGAGGATGAGGTGGCTAGATGGAGTCACTGAAGCAGTTGGCGTGAGCTTAAGTGGACTCTGGGGGATGGTGGAGGACAGGAAGGCCTGGAGGAATGTTGTCCATGTGGTCTTGATGGGTTGGACATGACTTTGGGACTAACAACAACAAAATTCTAATGCTCCTAAGTCCCTGAATTCTTAAAGGCAGAGTGAGAAGCGCAGCAGAGGTCATCTTCACCCTCCTGCCTTTCCTCTTCTGCTTGTTGGGCTAGTTTGCTCATGTACTGCAGTGTCTTAGTGAGGGAAGGAAAGGAAGGAATGACAGCAGGATACCTCATGTCTTGACCTCTCTGATTGTCTCATCTTCCCACCTCGCTTATCTCCTCATCTCAGTCATTTTCCTGACCTTAAAGAGCAGCCAGTACAGTTCTTGCCTTGCTGGCTGTGGGGAGGGGTGGGGGTGCTTGGAGATTCAAGAGGTCAAAGTGTTGTCTTAAACTATGCTATAGCCTCTCAGATGATCCTTAGGAACAATATTGTTGCTATCTTAATGAACAAACTGTAGTGAGAAGGTTGTGATTCCAGCACAGGTATGATTCATTTTTGTTTCTGATGAGATTGTTTCTGATGACATGTATGCATAGTGTCATGTTTAGTCAGTGCCACAGAACTGAAATCCAGCTTGGAGAACTTGCACAAGTGAAGTAAGCCTAAAGTGCAGCAAATAAAATACAAGTCTAGGAGCAAAGTAAGGCAGAAGGAATGTTCTTGCTAGTATTGGGTTTCAGTGTTCAGTCAAAGGAATGAGATTGAAAACTCTGTGTGGGTGCTTGTTTAAAGATGTGAAATGGTGCCAAAAGTATTCAGGTTGCAACTAATATTCTGCCTAAAGATGTAATAAATATAGATCTTCCATTTCCTTTTAAGAAGCTAAAATTAGCTTTTATGGTTATGTTCCACTGTGGAGCTGAACTTGAAAACAGTTTACCTAAAAGAATGGAAATGGCAGGAATGAACAGTAGAGCTGATTGAAATAAATAAAATCATGATAGAATTCTGGTGAAAATTTGGCTTCATTTCAAAAGACTGATGGATTTCAGAGAGTGGTGAACAAGCCAAACCAACCATTTGCGGCTTGGCTGTTTCTAAAGAGACTACCACTGATAATTATCAGAAAAGTAAATTTCAGCCTGGGGTACAGCACAAAACTACTGATTCTTCACATTTCATTTAGGCACCATAAGAAATAATCATCTAGACAAAATGAATAATGTTGGTTACCCTAATGATAGTATTTATAAATAGCAGTACTGAAACAGTTTGGAAATGTTCACAAGTAGAAATGATTTTCAGGGTCTACCAGAATAATTATGGTATTGGGGCATATTGGCAGCATCTGAATTGTTCATAATGACAGATGCAATTTTGTTAGAAAGCTTTTCATCACACAGCCAGAAAAATCATTGTGCAGTAACTTTCACTTACCTGACAATGTGTCTGTAAATTTTCAAATGTTAGACCTATTTCACCTTCCTAAGTATTATTATGGACTTTGTATATAAACATGCCTTGACAAACAGGAGTTTCCATTTTTGTCAGTACATTTTGTGGGTTTATCTGTAAATGTAAACCTGACATAACTTTAATGCAAAAGTGTAAAGCCCTGATTAATTTTAGAATTGCTAATTCATATTATACAAAAATTGCTTCCACTACTGTCAAAATAAACAAGGGATGTGCAGGAACACCTTGGCTTGATGCTTAGCTATCAACCTACCCTGATTCCAAGGTGGCATACATATTGCTTGCTTAGTTTGGGCAATAATCTGGTTTAATTCTATCTCCCCTAAAGTTGGCACAAGTTAGTATACCTGTCTGGCGATGTTACAAAGCACTTGCTACCAATATGACTGACATTGCAGGGAAGGTGTCAGGGAAGCCTTCTTCAGTTATGGCCAAAGACAGAAAGAAATGGGGGTTCAACTATGTAATGTGGATGGTAAAATGGTAACAGATGACAAAGGAAAGGTGGAAGTGCTCAATTCCTACTTTGGCTCAGCCTGAAGAAGGGGAAGTACAGGCTGATGGAGCAGAATAGCAGCTCAAGAATGATAGGTAAATGGCCATGGGTCATCTAATTGGATTGAAGGAGTTCAAATCTCCAGGGCTTGATGAACTCCATCTTAGAGTTATTAAAGAAGCAGAACCACTGTCTATTATCCTTGAGAAATCATAGAGAACATGGGAAGTGCTACATGACTGGAGAAGAGCAGATGTTGTCCCTATCTTCAAGAAAGGAAAAAGAAGAACAACCTGGGAACTACAGACCAGTCAGTCTGACATCAATCCCTGGAAAAATTCTGGAGCAAATTATAAAGCGGTCATTTTGCAAACACATTGAAAGCAATACAGCTTTAACTAGGCATGTTTAGTATGGAGAAGAGAAGACTGAGGGAGGATATGACAACACTCTTCAAGTATTTGAGAGGCTGTCACAAAGAGGAAGGACAGGATCTCTTCTCAATCATCCCAGAGTACAAGGTGTGGAACAGCAGGCTGTAGTTACAGGAAGCCAGATTCTGGCTAGATATCAGGAAAAGTTTCCTGACTGTTGGAGCAATACAACAAAGGAACCAATTCTCTAGGGAAGTTGTGGGCTCTCCCACACTAGAAGTATTCAAGATGCAACTGGAGAGCCATTTGAGAGGAATGGTTTAACTTGGTGTCCTAAGCAGGAGGTTGGACCTGATGATCCTCTAATCCTTTCCGACTCTACAGTGATTGAAAGGCAGATCATTCCAAGTTTTCTTAGCTCATTCTAAATCAGGAAAGAGAAAATCAAAGCCATCTCCTTTAATAACAAAATAAGCTCCCAATATCAGTGTGCTTTTTGAAGTATTGAACAAATATAAAACTAGATATACCACTGTATTTGGCAGTAATGGAGAGTAACTTCAAATGAAAATATGAGACACTGGTATGGATTTTAAACAACATTTAAAATAATGCAACTTCAAATGTTAGGCTTTGTTAATATGTTGGGGAAACAGCAAGCAAACACCACTCTGGGTGAGTGTTTATTTTTCAGTCATTATCAATGTGTTTAGAGAAGATTTTTAATGCCCTTTCTTTGTGCCCTAAGCGTATGGTAATGCACTTTCTCTAAGGTAGTTTTGAAACATTTCTCAGAGATCATATGACATTGCAGCAAGAATTTATTCTTCCACCATACCATCTCAACCAGATGCCAGTTGTGCTATTTAAAAACAAACGAGAATTTTAAATGACTTTCCTAGGAAAATTTGGTTTATCTCTTAATTGCCATTTAAATCTGCCTCACTTTGCCTGCTGTTTGGCCAGAATTCTGAACAAATAACTTTTGTGTTAGATTGGCTTCCTTCACATGCATATGACCTTCACAGGTCTAACTGGAGATCTCAGAGGAACCTTCAATGGGCTCAAATGAGTTGAAATTCCCAGAAATCTGACTGTTTTTTCTAAGTTGTTCAGATTCCAATGATTCTTAGAGTATTTTTTTTAAACTTTCCCTAATTTTACATAAATATAGAAAACAAGAAACCCTGACTAAAATGTATATTTCCTTCATAAAGTGTGAACATAGGCATTTGGGATCTGTTTACACATTTTGTGGATTGTAAATTTGCACAACTGCAAATTTGCATAAATGCATATGAATGCATCAGCAGAAAACCTAGTTCTGTCAGTGAGCAGATGAAGGAATAAAGTTACCTAACAGTTCACAGAACATGCAGAGAATGGATTTTATAATGTTCTTAGGTTCCCTAGGGCTAACACAGGAACCAGTGCTATATTTTGCACAAAGTTGTTGTTGTTGTTGTTGTTATTATAACATTTCTATGCCGCCCCTTGCCGAAACCTCAGGGCGGCTTACAACATGAATGATAGTTGTATCCCGAACAGATGGCATTCATCCTTTTTGAAGAGTTATCTAAGTCTACTCCCACTATTTTAAATCATGTTTTTAATTGTTACGTGGAATTTTGTCCCTTTAAATTTCATCAGCTTACGTACTCCTAAAAATAAGAATGTTGCTATCAACCACTTACATATCACCATTTCTCTCACTGGCAACAAAATATAAAGTGCTTCCTGTTCATTTTGCCACTGTGTTAATGTAACTTTTTCCTTTTACAGATGATGAAGGGAATGTGAAGGAACTAGACAGAGTTTGGATTCTCCATAAAAGAACAGCCATGCGTTATAGCATGTATAAGAGAAGGCAAAAGGGGCCAAGTGATGAAGAAAGTGTTCGCCAATATGCAACTCTGGTGGGACAGACATGTTCAGAGCGGATGTTGCTTTTTAGAAGCTGAAGTGTTTGTTGTGTGAGTGTTCTTTGAAATATATACTATTGCACTACTGCTGGTTTGTATGGTTCTGCAGTTTGATGTTGATATGCCTATTGAAGATAAGATAAAGACATGTTAAGTATTTCTTTGTGCTTACAGGAAATTAATACTTTGGCATATCTTGAAAGGAAATACCATTTTGTCAAGTTATATCAAGGGTCTGGCAGAATATAATAATCTTTTGTTGTATTTCATAATCCTAATCTCCTCTTTGCTTTCTGAGAAGTGTGCATCATTTGAAGTGCTAAGTAATGGGAACATATTTTTCTCTAGTTTTTGTAGATACCTGAATGGAAGAATATTTAAAGTCACTCGGGTGCTGAAACATATGAAAGCTGTGTGAAATATATGTAATTCCACTAATTTAATAGCATCTTTCACTGTTGTAGGAGGATAAGACACAAGTGGCATGTTAATATTCAAGGTCCCAGTTAAACTAGGGTGCTTGGATTTAAGACTGTGCTTGTTCTGTTGAATTCAATAGCAAAACCAGATTCTTTCAGATTGTGGACCTGGCTTATGGAATCTATGCACTGTAGAATTTTAGACACTGACTGCAAAAATAATTTGCTTTAAATATGTTCTATATTAGTCTCAAAATACTGAGGAACTTGGAGATTTTTGTAATTAAATTGATACTTGGGGAAATTGAAGCCAAGGATAGGTTTATGGTCAAATTACCAAAGAGATTACTTTAAATAAGGGTTAAGGTTAAATAAGAGCAGCAGAATGAATAACAGCTTGATATATATCCCGTTTTTGTGGTGGTGGTTTTGTATTTTTTATGCCTATTTGTTCCCATTGAAAATTGTAGAACTCATTTTCCAGCCAGAAAAAGGGCAACAAGTTTGACAGTACAAAATACTGTTTAAAGCAACAGCAGCAAACAATCAAGCAAACAAAACGCAGTTGTAGCAGTAGAATGCAACTATAGCTACTATTGCTGTTTGAGCTGGATGTCCAGAACTATACATTCGTTTCTGATATTGCAATCATAAAATAAACAGATTTATCTTTAAAAGAATTGATAAATAATCTTGTTATAAAACAGTTTTCATAGTTTTGTCCATGTTTGCCCAGAAAAGGCCACAGTAATGCATTTGAAATTTACCTACATTGCGGGATGAAACAAAATACTGCCTTGAGTTTGCTTGGAAACATGACCCTGAGTCAGAGATTCTTGTGCATAGTATAGTGTGAGTTATATTCATGCTTTTTGCAAGGAGAACTAGCTTTATGAAAAATATTGTTAGAATGGTCCATAAGCATACAATTGGTACCTCATTTGGAACTGCTTATTAAACCCAAAATAAATCACACTCTTCTGAAGTCCACATTGCTGTGAATGGTTTTCTGTTCTATTCCTAGTCTTGGTAAATGAAGATGAAGATCCATTTCTTACTACCACAATTTAGATTTATTCTTATCTATGTAAAATGTGATGATGTCTTTATGGGTACAAGTCATAGGAGTTTCTCCTGCAGAAGTCCCACTGCTGAAGAGGAACTGGTGCATGTATCCTTTAAAATTACAGGGCAAACCCTTCCTAAGTCATGTACTTCTAGACCTAAGTAATTTCATATATAAAGCAAGAATGCTTCCTCATACTATAACACAAAATTATCTACAGCATAAGTTTTATAAAACATACTTAAATGTAATATGTAGCAACTAAAGTAGTGTATATATAAATATTAGCACCATAACCATGAGCTTCCAAGCCAAGACGGGCTTTCAGGCCATGGGCCATGTTGGGTAGGCTTGAATTCAGGAAGAAGATCTGTCTATCCTGTGTGAGTGCTGGAGTTTTTGTGAGGCAAAGGTTAGGCTCTCCCCTTAAGAGATTAGGCAAAACAACCCTGCAAGGAGATGACCCATTCCTCTGAGACATGTGGGAATTACCCCATTAGTAGCAGCAAGGGAAGACCCATAGAAAATAGACATGGCCATGGTCCTGTGGCACAGGCAGCGATAGATAAGATGGCTCATCAAGAGCAATCAAATGCCCATCCAGCAATTAGCATAAGCCTGAGGAACTCCTCATTCCCATAGACAAACCTAAGGAGAATAGGGAGTTAGAAAATTTTGGGAGGGGGCAAGCTCTAAACACAACACAAGCAGAAGCCATCTTTGAACACAGGCCTTGCACCCTTCCTGCACACACAAGAAACTGGTGTCAAGAGTCTATCCTGCAGGACAGGTAATGGGCTTCTTCTCCCTTTCTCTCTCTGTTAGTATCTCTCTCTGGTAGACCTGTCTGCATAGCTATACTGTAAACTTAACATGTCAGATCACCTTTGCTAAGCTAGAAAGGAGTGTGCCTGCAGCCAGATGGGTGACCACATGTGAAAGCAACGCAGGGGAATACTGAATGGCCTTAAATACCCCTTCCAACCCTATGACCATTTTAGGAAGGAAGCTCTTTATCTCTTTAGAAATATAAAGAAAGACTGGGTTTCTGTAGGAATATATCCTGTCTGGAAAATATCGGGTTGAAAGCTTATGTCTGCTCTTGAATAAACTTTCCTGTTGTGTTTGAATGCACAAATCCATGGCTTGTTCTCTCTCTAATAGTGCACGTTAAACCCCAGGAAAAGATCCCAAACCTTTTGAGGAAATCTGGTCAGCAAGATTTTTTTTGAGGTGTGCTGCTTCCCAGGATTACTTGGTGTAACAGTATGGCATGTTTGTATTAACAGAACTTTTTTGACAGCTTCTCTAAGCTGATTTGTATAGGGTAATGTAATGAACATTAGTTAATGGGTGAATTAGAAATATACTAAATATAATAATGAAAATGGCTAAGGCCTAGACCAGGAGCAGGCAACTTGTACCCCTCCAGATGTTTTTGCCTGCACCTCCTCTCCACCCAAGACCACATAGTCAACAGTGACGGTTCATGGGAGTTTCTGGACAAAACATCTGGAGAGCCACAAGTTGCCCACCTCTGGTCAGCACTCATGTGAGGTTTACATTAGATACATGTGGCTTTCATGTTCAGAATTTATTTTATTTATGCAAATTATATGCTGCCCCCTTAGCTTTAGGCTCTCTGGTTGGCTCACAGCACAATAAAATCCATAAGATACAGTACAATGTACAGCACAATAAAATCCACAATTCACAATAAAACCAATAACAATAAAAATCCATAAGTAAAAATAAAAATTGAGTAAAACAAAAAGATGACAATAAATATCCTATAAGGGAATCCATAAACCAAATAAAATATAATATCTAGCATAAAATTAATAAAATCAGCAGCATTTAATAATATAAAATCTTAAAATCATTTAAAAAATCAACAACTAATTCATCTGTCAAAATAGCAAAGGAACAAAAATGTCTTAAGTTAAGGCCTAACTGAAAGTAGGGTGCGCGCCACCAAACCTCCAGTGGCGTTGAATTCCAGAGAGTGGGCGCTATGATTGACAAAGTCCTCTTCCTTGCAATCTCTCCCCTCGCTTTGCTAGGGGTAGAAAAAACAGAGAAGGACTTCAGATGAAGACTGGAGTGATCAGGCTGGTGCCATGGAGAAAGGCGCTCCCTGAGATAACCTGGCCCCAAGCCATTAGGGCTTTATATGTTATTGTGAGCACTTTGAATAGGGCCCAGATGGCAGCCAGTGTAGCCTGCATGAGGCCAATTAGGGGATTGAGATATATGTTTGCAGTACTCTTTATCTCTGTACTTGTTTACAAAACCTGCCCCCCAAAGAATTCCTACCAGTGAGCTTTCAAGCCACTGGAGGCTTGGCTGATACATGAATTAATTTTTAATGACATGGTTCTAGGCAGTTTTTATTCAATGGTTCTTTCCCCAGGACATCTTGATGCATTCCACATTGTGATCCTTAAGAAGGGATAGTCACAAAGAAATCCAGGCATGCAAAAGAATTCATACAGAAAAAAATCATCTCTCAGACATGATCCATCCGTACAACTAGAAAATATCTTTCGGTGAGGAAAAACGTACATATCCCAACTTCAGGTGGAATCCAAGAACTCCTTGTGCTTTCTCTCCTACAAAAACTGTGGAATGTCAAAAATACCTGAGAGCATGGTATCAGTTAAGGCAAGCTAGCTATGCCTTTTCCCTAATTTATACAAATACTATTTGATTCATTTGAAATGGAAGCAGAAATTGACACCATTCATTTAGAATACATGATAGTTTCCTTTAGTTGATGGATTTATGGACACACCTCATGTGTAATTTCCTCCTGATATTTCTCATTTTGCCTCATTTCCTCTGAACATACAAGGAATCCAGTAGCTATAATCTCCTTTAATTATGTGTCTTCAGCAGAGGAATGGTCCTGTTTTTGATGAATCAGCTCTCTTTGAAAGGTTGTCTTGCTTTACATATAGTTATATTTTCAGGGCTTTGTCTATGTCACAGTAAACAGGAACTTGTTCTAAACAGAATGATTCATCCCTAAAACTGCCTTATATAACTGCTATTGTCTTCATCAAAGGTTATTTGCAAACCTAAGATTCATAAGCACTGTTCACTAATTTTGAAATAGATTTTGTCTGTCCTCGGGCTCACCCTTAACTAATGATAGTCCCCTGAATGGGTTGGTATCACTTACTGTCCTACAATAGTAGGGGGCTGGACCCAACAGCCTTCTGACCCCTTCCAACTCTACTGTTCTATGATTCTAATACAGCACAGAAAGAGTAAAGGAGTGTGTGTAAACAAGAGAAGGGAAATCTCAGAAAAAAGGAAATCTAAAAAGAGGATTCAGAACTGAAACACAGAATAGCTTCACACATTATATATGGAGATACAGTACATAAGTTGTCAAAAGACAGAGAATGTATATTAACATGCTTTCACTAAACCCATATTAAAGGAAAAATGTTTAGGTCATAGTCATTTGAAATCTGCCAGTTCTCAGATGTGACTCTGCCTAGGTCCTATGTGGCCTCATCCCAAAACTTTTTCCAAGGATCCTAGATTTGTTCCGCAGAGTCCTGAATGCCCATTACTGTCAATGGATGCCCCCCCCCAAAATTCCCTTTAATTGTCATTTAGGAGACAGTTTTTCAATATGGGTTGCAAATGGGGAGGGAACAGTTACATCTCATCATTTGCTGCAACCTCCCCCATCTCCCAGATCTTTCCCTACACAGTGATTAAGTTCATAATTCTTTTACATTGATCCAGATCAAGATACGCAGTAATTGAAAATTTTATTTTATTTGAAATTACTCAGATGAGAAATGAAATAGATAGCTTTGCCTTCTATGAAACTTAAATCAATCTTAGAACTATATCTAAAAGTGCATATATAGATATAAATTAGGATGTGTAGATTTGTGGGATATGGGTTAGCTGGTGAACTCCGCCCTCATCAGTCCCAGCTAGCATGGCCAGTAGTCAAAGGCAATGCAAGTTGTAGTCCAACAATGTCTGAAGGACCATAAGTCTCCCAAAGTGCCCTGAATGCCTGATAACTGTGAGTAATACTATGAAAATGTGTTGTTAAAGTAAAGTGATGCAGAAGTATCTGCTCACTGTAGGATCATGACATTTTGATCCTTGAGCGCACTGGAATGGATCTGGATGTACAATTGCCTAGTGTCAGCACATAAGAGAGATTTGAACATGTAATGCTGAGGTACAGTTACTCATGAATTGTATATATAAAGATTAGACTCATGTAGTCCAGCTCTTGTTTTCCAAACAGATGCCTCTGGGCAGCCCACCCATGCTCCCCAGTCCCTAGTTTACAGAGGCTTACTGCCCCTGATATTAGAATTAATTATTCTCACATAACACCAGTCCTCTGTCAGCTTCACTGACTCCCAGTTGAAGTCAGGGCCCAATTCAGGGTGCTGGTACTTACCTATAAAGCCTTAAACGGCTTGGGTCCAGGATAACTGAAGGAACGTCTCTTCCCCTATATGCCCTCACAGCCCTTAAGAACGGCAGGGGAGGCCTTTGTCCAGGAACCCTCTTTGAGGGAGGTATGGAGGGTATCCACGTGGAGGAGGGCCTTCTCTATGGTGGCACCCTGACTATGGAACATGCTCCCCAGAGAGGTCCACCTGGCACTAACTCACTTTCCGGCACCGGGTAAAGGCCTTTTTATTTAACCATCATTTTAATAACTAATATCACTAATTTTAATAATATCATTAATTGTATACAGTCACATCTTCATTTTCTTTTATTTTTCTTTCTTTCTTTTCTTTAATTAGGAAGATATACTGTTGTTAATTTGTTTTATTGTGGAATGTTTTTAATGCTATTTATACTATATTGTTATTGTTATTTCTGTAAGCCATCCTGAGGCTGCTGCAAAGGAGGGCATAGAAATGTTTAA